AAAGGAGATAACCGCCCGCATTTCCAAGGCTCAAGCAGCATATGCAGGACTGAAACACCTCTGGCGTAGATGCGACGATTCACTGTAATTGAAAGGTCGTGTATATTGTGCTAGCGTTCGTTCAGTTCTGTTTTATGGACGTGAGACCTTGAATTTGCGAGTAGAAGATATCCGTCGACTGGACGTTTTCGATTATCGGTGTTTACGCAGTTTAGCTCACATTGAATGGAGTGAACTGGTTAGTAACGTGGAGGTAAGCCGTCGTGTGTTTGGGAGTCTGTCAGGTATAAACCTGCTGACACACCGAATTCATATTACTAGGCTTCGCTGGCTAGGGCACACATTGCGTATGCCCAGCCATCGTCTGCCGCACCGCGCTTTATTCGCTGTGGCTAATCCGGGTTGGAGGAAACCGCGTGGAGGTCAACAGATAACGTGGGGACGAGGCAGGAAGAATTGCACAAAGCCATTAGGTAGAGTAGGTGTCTCTCGCCTTCTAGGTTGGGGTCTGAAAGACTCCACAACCGGTTGGCGGTTGACGCCGAAGGATATGCAGCGAACCGGCAGCAGTGGCATTCTTGTTGTCGTTTCTTATCAGGTCAGAATGCTTGAAACCGTATGTATGCAGAGTTCGATTGCGTATTCTGTGTGTTGACCATAGTGGTTCACCTTCTTCTCCCTCGCTCAAAGGAGGTCCAATCCCTGTCCACCTTAAATTTTACCACTAACTTTGTATGCATTGCGAGTTTGGCGGCGATCAGCGAAGTTCGCTTCACTGCATTTCGCTGTACGACGATGATGATGATAACTATGTGGTCTGTCGGATATGGGGGGGCGGCGAGCAAAACTATATAAACACAACACATTTACTGGAGTTTAAGGTTAGCCCTTATCAGGAGAATGACCGAACTTAATCAACTATTGTCGGTGAAGGAGCTTAGATGGGAGTAAGAAAAAATGGGTTGCCAAAACACAACGTCATCTGCATATTTCGAAATGCATGCTAGAGAACCACAAGGCTATCAGAAGTATACGTGTAGTTGACCGACACCTCAGAAAGGTGGCGCACAGCCTGCAAAGGCAGGTAATCTCTAATGAAAAAACGAGATGTGTTGCCTGAATTGACGCCTATAAGGAGAATGAGTCCAAAGATGCATGGAGTAGTGAGTCATCGAAATCTATCAAAATGGCGAGACTTCGGTAACCAGGTAACAGCGCATTATTACCCAGCAGTCCAAACTTGACTGTGCAAAAACAAAAGGTGCGCAAATGAAAAAAATCGGGGCAGTGTTGCGAAGATCTTTTGTAGAAAACTTCCAGGAAACTTTATGAAGCTGGAGTATCCCTTCCAAGGGGACAGCCGAAGTACAATAATTTTTATAGACTTGGAGAGGTGCGTCTTTGAATCTGATCACAGACTGTGCAAAAAATACCACCAACAAACATCGGCACACGAAATTTCCCAGTGCGTGATAGTGAGCACCAGAATGAAAGTTTGAACATACCTGCTTTTCGAGCCCGCTCTATTTGCAACTCAATATGAAGTTGGCTACGTAGGCTGATCCCGGTCACCGAACGCGGTAAAATAGTGCCATCCGGTCGCAGGAATTGTGCCAGAATTCGTACATCCTAAACGAAGAAGAGGGGGTCGGATTCAGGAAGAATTGGCATACCGTTGGTTGAATGTCCAGCTCCGCACGACTAATCGGATCGGTGTCACGCGGGTCACCGAGGCCGTCCAATCGTATCACGTGTTCAGCACGTTCGGACGGAACAATCACGCCTTCGATCTGGATTAATGACAAGCCAAAACAAGATGGCCGACGAGGACGTATCACTTACCGTGGTCACATTCTTTTCAACAGTGCATCGAACTGTAAACGTGAAAAAAGCACGGTCCGTACAAGTGGGGACTAGAGATAAACTTACTTTCTTTCTTTCGCGATAAGGAAGTGGTATGAAACAAGAGACGTGGATTACTGGCAACCGATCTGTATAACGAAGTTATAACTGACGGGCGCAGACCACAAGCGATGCACAGCATGTGGCTGAAAATAACAGAAAGCACACAGTGATGTATAGATTTAAAAACGGGGGTTATATACATATATATCTATATCTTCGGGAAGGTTTAGTGTCATGGTCGATAAACATAACCGGCCAATTCTATCAATTTTTACAACCATTAACCATGCACTTTCGAGGTCAGTTTTGGTCGCTACATTTTGGCCACCCATTTGGATAAAAGAGCAGTTGGAAGATTGGAATTCGAGAGATTCAAGGAGAATATAGAGAATCCATATAGACTGGGATTGCAAGAATAATGAGATGTACGAGCACCATCGTTTGCGACACAGCCATATCACTCAGTGTCGGTAACCACCGGTTACCGTGATCTCGGGATCCTCATCCAGGGCGCCTAACGGAACTTATATGACCCAGTGTCTTGGTTAAGCTTTTCATACCCTCATACTAGGTCTTAGTTTAACCGCTTTTCATCTTCTACCATCCAATACCTATCTCGGAAAATATTGCTCGCCGTGGCGAACTATTTGGTGGCATGCACAGCACGTCCTAACCAGCGTAATCCATGGAGGTCGACCACTAGCTCCAGTGGACGATTGCGGTTACCTGCGCCGAACATCAGTATCGCTCGTCCGGTTGCCCCACCATATTCGTGCACTGCAGCAGTGGCCGAACTGATGCAGTATATACTCGACCCTTCACACACAGCCCGTCTGTTGCGACGGAGCCACAGATGTCTCAAATTGGCAAATGCCAACCGAGCCTTTTGTATGCGCACCGACATTTCATCTGTGAAGCGTCCGCCAGGTGAGATGCAGCTGCCCAGATATTGTTTACTTCCTCAGTCAGGGTGAGATTAGGGTCTGATCCAACCCAATCTCATAGCAACCTTTTACACTTTGAAGGTAAAAAACGCATACTGAACATGGCTACACTAGCACTCAAACTATTGAGACAAAAGCTTACAACTTATCTGGATCTTCACTTAGCAGCACAATGCCGTCTGCATACCTTAGATCAGACAGTTTGCTACCTGGGATTAAGTCGACACCGCTACCTTCGCAGGAGAAAAGGGTTGTTTCAAGAATTAAATCTATTGCAAAGTTAAATAGAAATGGAGAGAAGGCAACCCTGCAGAACATCACTTTCTATAGTGAACTCGATTGAAAGTGTCGTCAGCTCGGACTCGGCTATTAGTATACTGAAATAAACTTCTCAGGAACAACCTTTAGAGCGAGGCGCCGCCAGTTTTGAGCGGTCGACTGAGTCGAAAGCCGCTTTCCGATCGAGGAAGGTAGAAATGAGCGATCTAAAAAGCTTGAATATTCCCATGATAACATTGAGAGAACGAGTCGGTGAGCGAACAATTGTTTTCGGATATTCCTAGTCATGCTCTTACATATCATATATTGGAAAAATTCTTATATAATGATAGCCACTGGCTCAATTTTAGGTCAAAATTCGGAGGCAGAGAGTAATGAGAGTGTATGCGTGCGTGTGTGTAGGAAAGTTCAACATGTTAGTTGATGTGATCTTTCCTTACTTGGGTCAAGTGACACCAAGACGAAACATGACGTGTCATGTATAACGCATGCCACCAAACAGGTCGCCACGGCGAGCGACGTTTGCCGAGGCAAACAGTGGTGGTCAAACGAAAACCTGGCATGAATGTATGAANAAGAGACTAGGTCGCATAGGCCCCGTTAGGCTCATCATCATCACCATCATTGTACAGCGTAATACAATGAAGCGAACTTCACGGATCGCTGCCATACGCATATTGCATACAAGGTAAGTGAGAATATGTAAGGAGGACAGGGATTGCATCTATTCTGGGGGACGGAAAAGGAAAGCGAACCTCTATGGTCAACACACAGAGTATACAGTCCAACTGTGCATACATACTATTTCAAGCATTCTGATCTGATAAGAAGTGACAGCAAGATCGCCATTGCTGTCGGTTCGCAGCCATGACCTTTAGTGTCTCCAACCATGCGGTTTCGGAGTCTTTTGGACCCCAACCCGGAAGACGAGAGACACCAACTCTACCTGATCGCTCTGTTCATTTCTTTATGTCTCGTCTCCACGTCATCTGCGGCCTCCATGTGGTTTTCTTCAGCCTGTAACAGCCACTGCAAACAAGGCGCAGTGCGGTAGGCGTCCGTCGGACATACGCAAAACGTGTCCTAACCAACGGGGCCTGTTGAGCTGGACGGTGGTGGCCCGGCGGTAACGTCACCAAAGTGTCACCCCGTGGACGTGTGTTCGAATCCGACCACCACCGCCTGACTTTCTCTATTTGGTGTATTGTATGGCAGCCCTTTGATTGGCCGCATTAATATTTCAATAAAAGGAAGTAAAAATGAAAAGAAAGAAAGGATTCGATGTGATAGCGAGTTCTTGTTTTTTTTAATTTTTTTATTGCACACCTAGGTGTGATGAGCAGCAGACGGAGTAAACCCCATAGTCATGAGGACCTGCTGTTCAGTGGTTGAAATCGGCAACCTAAGCCCCGGAACTTGGAGTGGCGATCCACATAAGGCCCCGATAGGTTAGGCGTGGTATTGAACCGGACGACAGCAGAGCTGTTTGATGTATTCCCAAACGCCCAACAACCTACTTCTAAGTTACTAACCCGCTCATTCCATCCCACGTGGGCCACATTACGTAAGCATCGATTGTCGAAAAACACTAGGCGATGGATGTCTTCTACCCGCAAATTCAAGGTCTCACAGCCGTAAAGCAGAACTGATTGTGCAGTAGCGCAGTATACACGACTTTTCAACTTTAATGAAACGTCACGTTGCCGCCACAGGT